TCTCTCTCTCTCTCTCTCTCTCTCTCTCTCTCTCTCTCTCTCTCTCTGTGTCTCTCTCTCTCTCTCTCTGTCTCTCTCTCTCCCTCTCTCTCTCTCATCCGGGTCCTCTCGCTCTCCTCCTCTCTTGTGTTTTTAATATTTACTTCATCCACAGCAGCAGCGGCGGCTTAGAGCCTTAACGACAGCAACACGCATGCACGTGAAGAGGAGCAGCTCGTGAACCACCAGCATCCTTCTCGTTATTTTCTATTTTATAGGAAAACTCACTTTTTTCTTTTTTTTGGTTCCTGAGATATCGGAGAGGATGCTCGCGCTCCGGATCAACAAGTCTCTCTGGTTTTTCACACATTAACTGTGGATGGCTGCGGAATGGAGATAGCCTTGGTGAGCTTTGAGAACGGCGGCGCTAAAGGGAGCGGTGGAGGTGGAGGTGGAGGTGGAGGAGGAGGTGGTGGAGGAGGAGGCAACAATGCCGAGGAGAGCTGCCGGAACGCGCTGGATGTCCCTCAGCCGGGCTTCGTTCAAACTGGACTTGGAGAGGACTACGGTAAAGAGCTGAACACCCGGGGGAGTCCTCAGCAGCAGCAGCAGCAGCATCATCCTCATCATCATCTTCATCAGCAGCAGCAGAGCTCCTGGAAAATCAACGACATGAACAACACTTTCAGCTGCAGCGAGAACGCCATGGATGCGCTTTTACGCGCGGACCACAGTCCCCATCTGTTCGACGAGGACATGCTGGACATGAACATGGACACGGAGAGCAACGAGAGGGTGCTCATCAACATCGCCGGGCTCCGGTACGAGACCCAGCTGGGCACCCTGAACCAGTTCCCAGACACTTTGATGGGAGACCCCACCAAGAGGATCAAATACTTCGACCCGCTCCGGAACGAGTACTTCTTCGACCGCAACAGACCGAGTTTTGACGGGATTTTGTATTTTTATCAGTCGGGGGGGAAGATCCGCAGACCCGTCAACGTGTCCATCGACGTGTTCGCGGATGAGATTAGGTTTTACCAGCTGGGAGAGGAGGCCATGGAGAGGTTCCGCGAGGATGAGGGCTTTGTAAAAGAGGAGGAGAAGCCGCTGCCTCAGAACGAGTTCCAGAAGCAGGTCTGGCTCATATTCGAGTACCCGGAGAGCTCCATGCCAGCTCGGGGCATCGCCATCGTGTCTGTGATCGTCATCACCATATCCATCATCACCTTCTGCCTGGAGACGCTGCCGGAGTTCAGGGACGAGAGGGAGCTTCCGGTCACCAGCCGGATGGACAACAGCACGGTGCCCCGGCCGTCCCTCACCTTTACGGACCCCTTCTTCATCATCGAGACCACGTGCGTCATCTGGTTCACCTTCGAGCTGTTCGTGCGCTTCTTCGCGTGCCCGAGCAAGTCGGAGTTCTCCAAGACCGTGATGAACATCATCGACATCATGTCCATCATGCCTTACTTCATCACAGTGTGCACGGAGCTCGCGGAGCAGCAGGGCCAGGAGCACCAGAACGGGCAGCAGGCCATGTCCCTGGCCATCCTCCGGGTCATCCGCCTGGTGCGGGTCTTCCGCATCTTCAAGCTCTCCAGACACTCCAAGGGGCTCCAGATCCTCGGGCAGACTCTCAAAGCCAGCATGCGGGAGCTGGGCCTCCTCATCTTCTTCCTCTTCATCGGCGTCATCCTCTTCTCCAGCGCGGTGTTCTTCGCGGAGGCGGACGAGCCGGAGTCGCACTTCTCCAGCATCCCGGACGCGTTCTGGTGGGCTGTGGTCACCATGACGACTGTGGGCTACGGGGACATGAGGCCGGTGACCGTCGGGGGGAAGATCGTGGGCTCGCTGTGCGCCATCGCCGGTGTGCTCACCATCGCGCTGCCGGTGCCGGTCATCGTGTCCAACTTCAACTACTTCTACCACCGCGAGACGGACCAGGACCAGTCCTCCCTGAAGGACGAGCCGAACAGCGGCCGAGCGAGCCCCGAACCGAAGCGGAAGGGAAGTAAATCGTCGACCAAGTCGCAGCAGGACGCGGAGAACAACGACGCGACCGCTTCGGTGGAGAAGGCGAACATCAAAGCGAACAGCAGCATGGACTTCAAGAGATCCCTTTACGCGTTCTGCTTGGACACGCGGGAGACTGACCTGTAGTCCTGCAGGCCTCTCTTTAAAAAAAATAAAAACTAAAAACGACTAAAGCCCATATTTGTTTAGAATAAACCCCCATTAATGGGCTCTTAAGTCTTTGCACGTAGACAGTTGGAGGATCAACACATTTGCAATCCTGAAAAGTTTTAAGAGCGCCGGGGTTGATTTATAAAAAGCGCATTTTAATCCTCATCCGTTAGTGGAGTCCTGAACGGAACCACGGTGCATGTGATGCAACACAGCGGCCCTTTACAAACACCTAGTGGACTTTAGAACTCGTGGAGGAATTTAAAATGGGACACGTGCTGCAGATAATCAAGGACAAGCAGGACTTGGAATAATTACTCGACATGGCGAGCAGGATTATCAGGAGCGAGCAGACTCTTGTATTAAAGAAAAGCAGTCCATGTTCAGTTAGTGGGAAAAAAAAAAGCCAAATTTTATTTTTCGTACCCTACATTTAGTCATTATGTTTACGCCGGAAACAAAGGTGCAGCAGATGTGTACATATTTCCCAAAGAACTGCTATTTATGAATTGGATTATGCTGTTTTTTTGGAGAAAAAGAAAAACAAAGTATATTTTTGAGACGCCTGTTTATCGTCCACTCAGGTTCTGTCAGAAGAAGTGAGATACTTTTGTTTTCACTCAGAGGACCTGAAGAAGATTTTTAGCCTTTATTTATGATCGTTTTAAACAAAACATTTTTTTAAATTATTTTAAAAAGAAAGGAGGACATCAAATGGAAGTAAAGTGATGGAATGACAGCCAAGAAAAGAGGACAGAGCAGAGACCATCTGGAGAGATCAAGCAGCACAGATACCAGGTCAGTGTCAAAGATCGGATTATTTATCGGGTTTAAAAACGTCTTTTTGTGGCACTAATGTCACTCCATACAGGGAAGAGCTGGTGCTGAAAGAACAGCTCCTCAAGTATGGAATCACAGTAGTGTCGAATGTGAATGTTTTGATTTATACATATATATTTCAATCAAAACATTCACATTGTGGTTGAAGTATGTTTTAGAGTCAAAATGCTGTTTTCGTGAACGGAGTCTGGTGTTTGTAGAGATCGTAGACAGCGGCTTCAGTTGTCCGTCATAAAGGTAAAGAGGTGAACATATTCTAAACATAACGTACACCTGGACTGATATTGAGTGTTTTAGGTGTATACGTTTTATTTTCAGCTCTTGTTTAGCCTCTTTAGAGTCACCAGACTCCATTGACAAAAACAGTAATTTTACCTCAGAAGAAAGCAGGAGTTACAAGAAGCTCACTAACAGATCCAACCATCTCTTTCAGTTATTTCCAAACACAACACATCTGTTGTTGACTCAGCTGGTCTTCATATCGTTTATAACCTCATTGATTAGCTCGCTTACGTAACGTACGTCAGTTGTTTTTATTCGCAAAAAACACGTAAAAAGATGGCAGATGGAGTCGATCTTTCAGGACTCAGGAGGTGAAGCTCGGCCTCGGCTGCGTTCAGGTGACGCGTGGTGACCTTCGCCGTTCATCGTTCCTCTCGACTGAGCGAGCAGCAGGATGAACGCAGAGTTTGTGTTTGACCCTTTTCACCGGATGACAAGTTGGAAATCTTTCAAAGCAGATTATATTAGGCTTTTCCTGCGTGTGTGTGTGTGTGTGTGTGTGTGTGTGTGTGTGTGTGTGTGTGTGTGTGTGTGTGAGCAGAGTAGGGGAAATTGAATTTAGTCTTTTCATCTAATGCATAAACAGAGACCAACAATAATGTTTCATATACAAGCTTGTTGTTTTTTAACTACAGACAACCTAGAAACATTCCGTACAAAATTAAATATATATTTTTATTATTTATGAGGTTTTACATTTAAACTATGAGATAGTTTCACTGTATTCATATTATTTATTTCTATTTCTTGCCTTTTAAATCAGAAATCGGCTTCCATAAATTCTTTAGTGAACAAAAACTTCATACATTCAAATGGAAATATCTTGTTATAAAAAGCAGCATCTAGTGATTTTCTTAAAGTTGTTTAATTTTAATCTGATTTGATGTTTGAAGAGTTTCACTCAATCTGCTGATCACAGATTTTTAATATTTATTCTTACTATATATAAATTAATTACTGAAAAATAGAAAAATAATAAAAATACAATAAAATATGAACATACTGTATATGAACAATAGAAGAACAATAATTAAGTGTAAAAGCAATAATACTGATACTATTGCAAAATAGAACACAATAGCAATAAGAGTAAAGTAAATAAACAAAGTAAAACACTTTATAAGAAGTGATACTGACACCAGAGCCTCATGGACACTAAAATAAAATAGTAATATTGAGCATGAACTGTTCCGCATATAATTCAGGATTGTAAATGTACTTTAAGTACATAAAAAACATAATGTGTAGTTAAACGTAAACATGTTAAAGTCATCCACGTCTCCTTCAGTAGAACCGAGACGTCCCTGCAGGACTCCGTCCTCACGCTGTTGGGGGATGACGGAGATGTTAGTGTTATTTTTAGTTTGGGTTATAAACTGCAGAGGACAGATGGAGTCTGCAGGCGAGTCGGCCTCTTTCTCTGGTTATCTCTGAAGCATTGGGAGCTTCCTTTTGTCCCGAGAGACCCTGAACACATCAGGGGGGGGGGGGGGGGTGTACACTTTGGATAAACGTAGTACATTTTACAGAAATCTTTTTCTATTTATTCTCAGGTCACAGTATGAAAATAAACCTGCAGAAAGTTCAAACTTTGCACAAGTAAAAGTAAAAGTAAACATACAGTATATCGTGATGAGATCAAAACCCATATTGGACAGGTAGTGGTGCGTTCAAAAACCTGGTATTAAAACGGGCCCCGGTGCTAAAAGACCAGAGAATTATAGTATTCTTTTATGTTTTTAAAGAAGCGAGTGTTGATTAGAGTGGCGCCTAGTTGTACTAAAATCCTAAAGATACGTTTAACTGCCGACACACTTGGAACGGGACGGCTATTTAGTTGGTTGCAACTTTTCACAAACCACTTGATGCCAATACAACTTACACTGTTTCTTTATGTGACATGAAGTGTAATGTGTCCAGAAGACATTCAGCTGTGCTTTGTCTTTACTGATAATAAGCTATTGCTA